TAAGTTCCTGGAAGAACCAACGCAGACGTGTTCCTGTTTTCAGTTTTCTACATTCGCCTTATAATCTTTTTTTATACCATTTTCTTTCATTTATTCTTCTGTTTATCTGCTTTCTTTTATGATTGTCCACTGTTGTCGTCACTCTTCGTTAGAAACCAGGTCTCTCTTGTAAACGAGTCCCCGAGGCTCAGTAGGACTAACTTGTTGAAATAAAGTTTGGATGAATCAGCTGAAAAACTGAATTAAGTTCTATACCAGCTAAAGGGCAATTTAAAAGAAACTAAAGATTAGCTAAATGTAGCAGACTGTCCATACCCGATATCCTGACATCCTGAGAATTTCAAACTCTGAGTCTGGAAATATGAGCTCCTCCTGATCTTCAGGTGAGTCCTGCTCTGACAGGTGTGGGCGGAGCTTCATGTCAGTCCTGCTAAGACCTGGGTCTTTCATCGTGGGGCTGTCCTCAGTTTGTCTGATCAGACCCTGATGATTCAAAGTCCACTGTGGACGAGTCATCTTTTTACAAGTTCTACCTGCAACAGAAGCAGGAGGTCCTGAAGACTTGAAGGTCTCTGGGCGGAGCAAAGGAATGTTGAGACTGGGTTCCTCTTCAGGTTCTTGGACTGGGAGGGGTCAACGTGTTGGAGTTTTCATGGTCTCTGAAGTCTAAGAGGATCTGATAGTCTGAGGTCTCTGATGGTCTTGGTTTTTGTCAGCAATGTGAGGGTCTTTAACAGTTTCAGGATTCTGAGGTCTTTGATGGTGTCTGATGGTCCCCTGCCTCTGGTTCCTGTGTGTCCTCCCTGTCCCCGGGGACCAGATGTGTCTCTAATGCAGCGTGGCGTCTCCTCGCTGCTCGAGGCGTCTTTTTGTCCGATGGCGCGGCTCACACAGCGAGTGAATAATTAGATTAAGGTGACGAGTTAGTGCCGCTCTGTGGGCCCACCTGGACCAGATCCTGGTTCAGGTTTTGACCCAAATTCCTGTTTGTGTCCAAGAAAGTCTCAAAGTTATTTTTATTTATTTATTGTTCAAAAACTGCTTGTTGCTTCTTTTATTAAAAACAAATAAAAGCAAAACTTGTTTACGTATAAACAAGTTCACTTTGTTTGTTTGTGCTAAACTTTTAAAAGGTTTTGGTCCAAAGTCTGTTCTGATCCAGAACTCAATAGAACCTGCAGAAAACACGTCAAAGTGTGGTCAGGTGACCTCTGGAGGCTCCGCCCACCTCTCTGACCCCATCAGAAGGTGGGTCAAACTTTGGGCACAGCTGGGCAGTGTGGCCCACAGACAAACCTCATTGATGCTGAATCGTACGTCAACATCGCCGCCATGTTGGATGTGGCAAAAGTGAAGCAATAGAAGAAGAGGCCTCCCACATCCCCAATACCCCCCACCCCCTAAAGATGTGCTCTTCAGGATGTGGTTATTATAGACACAGATCAAATATTAAATATTAATATTTCTACATTTATCACCGCAGTAACAGTGTTACACACATCAGTAGTTGTAAATACTCACAAGAAAACATATGGTAGTTTAGTTTTTACCTTTAACCTAAAAATGTAAGGAATAAACATTTTTAATAATCACTTTAAAAGTTATAAATGTTGTCTTTGGAGCCTGTTTGTTTTCTAAATGTATTAATGTGTGAAAACTTCAAACACTTAGTTTATGAAGTTCAGTTCCTTCTGTCAGTTGACCGGCAGATCTGCCACATCCAATATGGCGGTCGCTCTGACGTACCACTGCAGGGGCCGCTCAACGAGGCGTCTAGTATATATGTCTATGGTGTGGACATGGTGGAGACACTGAGACATGAGGACAGACAAAGACAGTGTCAGTTGAGAAGGTGTTTAAACCGAACCTCGAGGCGCTGCCGCCCCCTGCTGGCTGCCTGAAGTTCTGCAGAGTTTTGTTCAAGGTGCAAGTTTTAGTTGGATCTGAAGCAGAAAACTGCCAGGAAGGAACACAGAACTTATCCTGGTGCTGCTCAATAATCCAGGTAGAAGCAGCTCAAAAAAGTTAAGTCCGGTTCTCTGGACGGGTTAAAAAAAAACAAACAAAAAAAACTGTAGAAACGTTTCGTCGTTCATCTGAAAGACTTCTGCTGTTCTTCAAGAAGAAGTCTTTCTCTTCAAGAAGAAGTCTTTCTCTTCAAGAAGAAGTCTTTCTCTTCAAGAAGAAGTCTTTCTCTTCAAGAAGAAGTCTTCCTCTTCAAGAAGAAGTCTTTCTCTTCAAGAAGAAGTCTTTCTCTTCAAGAAGAAGTCTTTCTCTTCAAGAAGAAGTCTTTCGGATGAAAGACGAAACGTTTCTACAGTTTTGTTGCAGAGAAGAACACAGAATTTAGATGTTGATCCAGTCCCAAACCTGACGACTGCACTTTCTCTCACCTTCGTAAAATAAACTGTGAACTGGTCTCTCGTTCATCTGGGTCCACCGTTATCCAGAGGCCTTTCATCGGACCGCACGACGATGCTCCGTAATTTAACACAAATACTTCATTTGCAGCATAAAAACTGTTTTTTCAACACTCCATCGGTTCATGTTTGTATTCAATGATACAAATAAAAATTATAAATCACTTTATAAAAGTTTATTGAACGAGCAGCTTATCATGAAAATCAAAGGAAATATAAAATGTAACGTCCTCACCTCCCAAACCAAAATACACTGACAGAACTTCTAACAACTGGACTCTGCAGCTCTGTAGACCTGCATCATGGTCTGAAGTCTTTGTCTCCTCCTCTTCCATCTACACCTCCTCCTCCTCCTCTCTGTCCTCATCTGTGTCCTCCTTGTCCTCCTCCTCTCTGTCCTCATCTGTCTCCTCCTCGTCCTCCTCCTCTCTGTCCTCATCTGTCTCCTCCTCGTCCTCCTCCTCTCTGTCCTCATCTGTCTCCTCCTCGTCCTCCTCCTCTCTGTCCTCATCTGTCTCCTCCTCGTCCTCCTCCTATGGCTGTCCCTGTCCCTCTGCATCAACTCCTCCACCGACACCGGCCTCTTCAGCTACTGACAACAACGACGATACACTTTAGAGCACTCCTGCAAAGAATTCACTGTTTTATAACACACACACACACAGCTGCTGTTTGAATTTACAGGAGGATCCTGTGGATCACGTGGATCCTGTGGATCCTGTGGAGAGCGAGGCACGTCCAGTTCCTACCATGGAGGAGATCATGTCATGTGTTCGTGGTCAGGGTCAAAGGTTATCCATGTGTCAGACATATTGTTTAAAACTTTTGCATGAATGTAACTGAACTATTTAAAATGTTGGGTTAGTTCATGTGGAGCAGCAACGTTCCACCTGATGATGGAGTGTGGAGCAAATCAAAGCTCCTGCTCCCAGTCCTGCTCCCAGTCCTGTGATGGGTCTGTGGCAGTGAGTTTGAACTGGGAAGTTGTTGGTGGGTGGCTCTGGATGTCACGGCTGCTTCTTTCTTCACTACAGCTCTTCTTCCCTGAAGAACTGCTGGAATCACAAAGAGGTCTCAGCGGTTCACTCCATCCCAGACCACCAGTAAACATACCAGTACGTTCCAAAAGTGCAGGCCAGAACCAGTAAGTCGTTTTTGTCCCAAACCAAACATGTCATGACCAGTCGACCTGCAGTCGTAACAAATTAATTATGTTTTTATTTTATTCATGTTTTTTTCTAACACATGCACTGAAGAGTTTACTGGAACAAGTTTCTGAGGTGCACGCTGCAGTCACACGCACGCTGCAGTCACACGCACGCTGCAGTCACACGCACGCTGCAGTCACACGCACGCTGCAATCACGCGCACGTGAAACAACGAACAATTGAATAAAAAAGAGTAAATGCATATTTTAGGACCCTTCCATCCAACCATCATCTTACTGCTTCTTCCTGGTTTTGATCACGTGGGTCACTGGTGTCCGTGTCCAGCAGGTGGTGGACGCCCTGGACTGGTCTCCAGTCCATCATGCACTCTCTCACTCACACCGAGGGACCAGAGTTACCAGTAAAGGCATGTTTTTGATCTGTGGGAGGAAACCGGAGAAAACCCACGCGTGCACGGGGAGAACATGAAACTCCACCAAAGGCCCCGGGATTTGAACCGGGGACCTGCTCGCTGAGAGGCAGCAGCTCTACCAACTGCACCACCGTGCTGCCTATTTTGTAAAAGTAATGCTTACACTTTTTAATGAAACTGTAAATGTGCACGTGCGCTGATGTTTCATGGCAGAAGTGTTTGTTGGTGTTCAGGGTTGTTGTTTCCTGGTGTTTGGCTCCATCTAGTGTTGAGTGTCTGTTCCTGCACCCGCTGTTTCCTGGTTTGTCATTTCCCCTGATGTGGTCCAGCTGTGTCCTCCCAGGTGTTCTGCCCCGTTTGTGTGTGTCTCTGCGTTAGTCCTTGGTCCTGGCCTTGCTTCCTGTCACCCTGGTCCTCCGTGTTTCCTACGTGTCTCCTGAGATCATGTAAGTTTGCTGCTCCGTCAGCGTTTCTTTTATTATTATTCATTAATTTATTTATCTCGTGAGCCGTGCATCGTCTGCCTGCACCCCTGGATTTACCTTCACTGCAACTTCGTGTGTTTTAATAAATAAGTCTTAAATGTACAAACCTCTTGTTATATTAAATATTAGCATATTTATACGGAGTTTAATAAAGGCTTAGAATATATTTATAATAACTTTATTAACAGTACTAAGAAAAAACATTAAATACAATTAAAATAAAATCTGAATGTATTATTCAGTTAGGTGTGTATACACCTTAATGTGCGCACGTCCCAATCAAATATGTAAACCAAACAAATTAAAGAATTATAATAAAAACACTAATTTAAATCAACCCTAAAATAATCTAATTATAAACTGAATTCAAAGACGTGACAAGCGGCTCCTACAACACGTCGTCGTAGCTGCTCGTGAAAACTTGCTGCTCGAACTTCTCGACGGGCTGCAAGAACAGAGACGGCCTGTAAGACGAGAGCTGTCACGTGGAAATGAAGAGCAGAGTCTTGTTTGTGGTTACCGAGGCGTCGGGGAGGCACGGTCCAAAGGCCTCCAGCAGCAGACTGGACCGTTTCACTGCAGCTTGAAAGTCCTCGAAAGACACGCGGCCGTCTCCGTCAGCGTCCTGCGTGGAGCGAATGACTCGTTCAGCCTTTTTAATGAGAAAGCTGAAGTGCTGCAGACGTCTTACCATCCTGCTCATCGTCATGTCCACCAGCTCTTTGACTCCTTCAGCGGGGTCGTAGTCTTCGTCAGAGTCGTCCTCTGTGGGCCGTCTGTGGAGGCTGTCCTTCAGCAGATGCAACATCTCTGCCCTGGAGATGAACTGGTCTCCGTTCAGGTCGTAAACACTGAAGCAGTCTGGCATGAAGCAACAACACAAGTCACGATTCTGCTCGGTCACTTTGCACTCGTTTGTGTAGGCGTGTGCGTGTGCATGCGTGTCACAGAGACGACGTGCGTTTTATTTGTTCATCTAAAGTCCCCCGGAGAAACACGGACAGTCCCTGGATCCACTCCTTCAAACTGATGAATCCGTCCCTGTCTTTGTCAAAAGCCCTGAAAACTGAGAGAAGTCATTTTCTGAAAACGTGACTCTGTAAAGTACAATTATTAATAATAATTAATTCAACTAATAATATTTAATCCATGATCAAAAGGCAGATTATAGGCCGATCAAGCCTTTAATTAATAAACTACACAAACATTTTAATGTTGACTTGTCAAAGAAGATTAAAATAAATGTATCGGAACAAGTTTAATATTTATCACCTGTTGTACATTTGAACCCGACTAAATGTGATTTATTTAATTTTTTAAAGCGTTTTGTTCAGTTTGTCCAAACATCAAAAGTTCATGCTCGATCATCCAGGTACAAAATCCAGAAGTGTTCATGTGGACAGTTTGTTTTTAGTGGAAAGATGCTTCGCCCTCTATCCAGAGGACTTCATCAGTCTGAAGAGTCCTAACCTTTTCAAAATATTTTGTTGGTGTCAAATTCAGAAACAAAGTTTTACAAAAATATTTTTAACTCATTGATGAAGTCCTCTGGATAATCTCGAGGCTCAGGGATCAATTCAAAGTCATTCAGTGCGATTGAATTACAACTCGATGTGTAAAAGACTCGGATCATGTTCAAAACTGTCCAGTTTCATCCAATTCATCTGATTCACTACGAAATAAAATTTGCTTTGTAAAAGTTCAGAGTTAAAAAGATTGGTGCACTGAAAATGTTCAGCTTTGATCGTGTGATTGTTTGATCCTTTACAGATTCAAGTTGTGATCAGATCCTCGTCGAGTGTCCAACTGTTAGAAAGCGTGAACAGCGCTGCACCTCCGTCCATCATGGTGTCTCTGCTCATCCCAAACACGCTGTGCAGGAAGCCTCTGAACCGCTCTCGGTCCACACCCTGACATTCCTTGCCAGGACTCACGTGCACGTCCAGAAGGACGTAAAACTCCCGGACCAGGCACTCCGTCTCTGTTTTATCGACTAACAAACAGAAACACTGTTAATGTGTGGAAGTCCTCTTCTGCCATGAAAGAAAAATAAAAGCCCAACAGGAAGTCATAATTTCGACTTTTAAAGTCATAATGACAAGAATAAAAGCCATAATTATGACTTTAAAAGTCAAAATTATGACTTCCTGTTGGGCTTTTATTTTTTCTTCCCTGACAGAAACGGTCTTTCATATTTACTGAGCCCCGGAGGGGACATGGGG